TCTAAGTTACGTGATTGACTGGTTTCAACAGTTCGAGTGACCACACTCACTCCATACAGCACACACATGCAAGAGATAATAATCAGAGATGTGAGGCAAAAAGAATAGCAGTAATATAGAAGGATAGAATTTTATTATTATATCCTTTAATTCGTAGAGGAACATAGGGCTTCAGTTGCGCACCTCCATTGCCTTCTGTTTTCTGACAACTTTTTCACCCCGCTCCAGGTCTGTCCACATGCCTTCATCTCCTCCTCACATGACCTACTCCAAGTCACCCTTGCTTTGACGAACAACTCACCGCTTCCCTTTCGGGTTCCACTCGAGCGATGGCTTATCTAGTGATGTCACTTGATGGTTTCCTCAGAGTATGGCCAGTCAATCAATCTCCATTTCTTCCTGCCTATTTGTTTCACAATCGGTTCCTGCTGTGTTGGTTCGTTCATTGCCAGAGATCCCTGTTGCTGATCATTTCTGGCCGGCCATCTGATCTTGAGTGGTATTGAGCGAAGACAACTGTTAATGAGTATCTATAGTTTGTTTGAGATGCTGTTTATGACGCGCTGGTCAAGTCTCTGATCCGTATAGTAAGCTGCACTGACTGACTTCACATTGGAGTTGAAGATCCGGATCTTATTTCCATTTTCACGTTGAGTGCTGTTGACCTCCACAAGAACTTGGTTAGTGTAGTGAAAGCTTGTCTTGCTTTTCCGATTCTCGCCTTGATATCCTCGTCAGTTCCGTCCGCCTGTATTTGGAACGATGCTTCCCAGGTCGGTAGGTAAAGGAGGTTGTTTCTTTCAGGTTCCTCCCATTTATGCTGGCTGATTGTTGTCTGTTGTTGTTGATGTTGGCTAGGAATCTTCATCACCTCTGTTTTATCTATGTTCACTTGAAGTCCTATCTTTGATGCTTCTTCTATCGCCAACTTGTTGCTTTTCACTTGCATATCTTCCAGTTTGTGGGAAATCAGACATATATCATCATCGGCGAAGTCCAGATCCTCCAAGTCTTTTGTGTCAGTCCACTTTATGCCTGTTTCCTCATTGCCCACTGTCTGTCGCATTATGAAATCTATTGCAGTCAGGAAAATCATTGTTCATTCAGCACTGTCGTACAACTGTTGGATGAGATGTATAATTGTCGGCGGAACCCCTTGGTAGTAGCGAAATATTTTGCTAATCACCTCTCGATCGACGCTGTCTGCTGAAGGCCTTTTAAAAGTCGATGAAGTTGAGATAGAGAAGTGACTGCCATTCTAAGCTTTGTTCAATGATGATCCGTAGAGTGGCGATTTGATCAACAAATCATGTATTGATCAAATCGCCACTCTACGGATCATCATTGAACAAAGCTTGGAATGGCAGTCACACGTCTCTCTACCTCAACTTCATTGACTTTGAAAAGGCCTTCAGCAGACAGCGTCGATTGAGAGGTGATTTGCAAACTATTTCGCTACTACCAAGGGGTTCCGCCGACAATTATACATCTCATCCAACAGTTGTACGACAATGCTGAATGCCAACTAATCCACAACGGGAAACTTACGGAAGCCTTCGAAGTGAGGACGGGAGTGAGGCAAGGCTGTCTACTATCACCAATGATCTTCCTGATTGTAGCAGAATTTTTTTAGATATTATAAATCCCAAAGAGTGAATGCATCTGAGCCAGCTCTCACTGGGAACGAGGATTTTGAGCCACCCATATCACCAATTGCCTCCAGTATTCATTGGTTTTTACTATCTTGAGGACCCCAATCAGGCAACCAGCCTACATCTTCCTACATAGCTAGCTTACTACACTACTTTTAGTATTATTTCATGTATTTGTAACAACAGAAGACAAGGGCCGGCAACAGATTCTTTTATTACGGGAATCAACACGTATTTATATATATTTCACATACATCATTATAGCTTATTCAAGTAGACAAACGCAGTCTTCTGATTGGTTGTTTCTCAGAAGTTAAACAGGCAAACGCAGGCTTCTCATTGGTTGTTTCGGGTAACCATCGAAAAGTAGAGCCATCTGTCTGCGAATCATATTTGCCCACGTTTAAGTTTGCTGTGATTGGTTGTTGAATCAGCCTTGTTCATATTTTCTCACGGCCAATACTAGTGACCTAGACATTGACGTAGATTAATGTCTACCAATTGGCTAGCAGCCTGCTCTTACCACATATTCACACCTACGATTCGATTCCCTCATCGGATATAATTTTTTTAAGGAAAACCATATGTATATATACACGATTGTACAGCTTGATAATAAATTCTTTAGTTGTAAAGAGTCTCTTCACTGAATCACTTGCTCTGATTTTCAATATATCCCCTAACAGGGATTTTCCATGAGATAATGAATGCAACGGGATATATACCCAAAGTGTCTACAAGAAAGCAAACAAACAAAAATCAGATGCTCATCACTGCGCTCCGTCCTGCTTTATGGCTATCAGTGAGACATGGCCATTGAGAGTTGAAAACATGAATAGCCTGGCTAGCTGTCTTTGATCATAGATGCCTGCGTTCTATTTCCAATGTGAAGTGGTGTAATAAGATGAGAATATTGGGGTTAGGCATCGGTCGAGTTCTAGGTAGGCGGGGGAAATCAATCGACGAAGTTGTGGAGTTACATAGACTGAGATGGTTAGGACATGTATTATTACGTATGCTGGCCTAGTCATCGCCTTCCTCGACAATGGGCAATGTTAACTGACTGGCAAAGGGTCAGGTTGGAAAAGAGCTAGCCGAGGTCAAACCAAAACATGGATCCATCAGTCAATGAAATCTACAACAGCTAGTCTAAGCCACGTAGGAAGGTGTAGACTGGCTTCCTGACTGGTTGGGGTCCTCGGGACAATAAAAACAAATGGTTGGAAATAATTGGTGACATGGCTCAAAATCGTTCTCAATGGCTGGCTAACGCAGATGCATCCACTCCTTGTGACTTGTGATTTCCAATGAAACTATATTGTTCTTCGTTATTACTAACTATTCCTTTGTGTCACACCTCTGTTTACTGTCTCTATTATGCATTTCTTGTAGTTTCTTCTCTTGCTTTGTGTGCTACAAGGAGTGGAGTGTGGCGACTTGAACTGATGCACATATGTGCAAAGTTCTATGTCGAAAACAGACAGACATCACCTTGACGACCAACTAACTCACCGTCCACCATTCGGGTTCCTTGTCGAGCTATGGCTTGGCGTGTAATGTCACTTACTTGACAGCGGGTTGTTTTCTCAGAGCATGACCAGCTAATCCACCTAATTCCATTTCCCTTTGCATACCTCTAGCACAGTTGGTACCCACTGGGTTGGTTAGTTTGCTCCCACACATCCCTGGTGCTGGTCTTTTCTGGTCATCTGACGTTGAGTGAAGACAGCTGTTGATGAAGGTGTGTGATTTGTTCAAAGTGCCCTTCTTGATGCAGAGCAACGTGGCGCCAAGTCTCTGATCCGTACGTAACACTGACCTCACATTCGAGTCGAAAATCAGAATCTTATTCTTATTTTCATGGTGAGGAGTTCTGTTGATCTCCTCCACAAAAAATCTGAGAGAAATAAAAGCTTATTTTGCTATTTATATATAAATACAGTTTATATTCTCCTTACCAATCATTGAGCGTGTGACTTTGGTTTACTTCGAACGACATGAGATAGAATGTTCAAATAGATATATCGTTTTCTGTTGTTAATGCAGTATTGAACTGTGGAAACATGTAAGAGAATGATACTTCGTTGGAAAATATTGTCTGAGTATGGCCAATCCACCTAACTCCATTTCTTCCTGCATATTTGTTGCACAGTTGGTTCCTCGTCCACAGAAATCCCTGTTGCTGATATTTTCTGACCATCTGTCTGTCTGTCTGTTTTCGACATAGGACTTTACACATATGTGCATCAGTTCAAGTCGCCACACTCCACTCCTTGTAGCACACAAAGCAAGAGAAGAAAGTACAAGAAAAGCACAATAGAAACAGTAAACAGAGGTGTGAGACAAAGGAGTAGTAATAACGAAGAAATCATAAGTGACAAGGAGTGGATGCATCTGCGTTAGCCAGCCATTGAGAACGATTTTGAGCCATTTCACCAGCATACGTAATAATACATGTCCTAACCATCTCAGTCTATGTAACTCCACAACTTCGTCGATTGATTTCCCCCGCCTACCTAGAACTCGACCGATGCCTAACCCCAATATTCTCATCTTATTACACCACTTCACATTGGAAATAGAACGCAGGCATCTATGATCAAAGACAGCTAGCCAGGCTATTCATGTCTTCAACTCTCAATGGCCATGTCTCACTGATAGCCATAAAGCAGGACGGAGCGCACTGATGAGCAGTACACCCGCCCTTTGGTCGATAGCCGGCCGGATATCACGTCTACTACCCTAGAGACGGCGTAAACTGGCAAATGCGAAACGAGCCCTCTGTATCCGTGCCGAGATTTCGTCAGAGATCAACCCGTTGTGACTGATGGTTAATTCCCAAATAGGTGAAGTGGTCAACGTGCTCTACCACTTCACTTCCTATTTTTAAACTAGGCGTCAATGTAGTCCAGTCCTGTAACATCATCTTGCATTTGGCGGGAGCGAATCGCATGCCAAACATTCGTAGATTGCGGCTCACGGTGTTCAGAAGACTCCGCATTTCGTCAGCGTCTTCGCCTAGAAGGACTATATCGTCTGCATATTCTAAGTCAACGAGATTATTCCCTGCTAGCAAGTCAATCCCTGAGTCGCTGAATTCACTTAGGGTTAAGTCCATTAGTACATCTATGATGAAGTTGAATAGAAAAGGGGATAACGGGCATCCTTGACGGACACCACTACGTCTGGGTGATGGTGACATGGAGGTGATGTGTAAAAAAGAGGAAAGCATGTGAGCAGACGTGAAGCCAGATGAAAACGTTGGCAGAGAACCGTCAACGCAATGGAGACGTTCAGCTGAAGCTCTATGTTCCTCTAGGAATAAATAACTCAACAACATACATATTTATATATAATTTATGTATTTTCAATCTCTTTTTTAGCACACTGTGTACAAGTATAAATAACAGTTTGTCCTTCATCGGCTGAACGAGTTTGTAATGTTACATAAGTCATTCTGTCATTACCACAATAAGCACATTCTTTACGTATACTTGGTCCATCAAATGTCGTTGCCTGAGATGTATCATTTTCAAATTGTTGCGCTTCTAAAGCTTGTTTTAATGCAATTTCTGATTTTAAAATTTTTTTAGCACCTTTTATCATGGATGGAAAAAATAAACACGTTGATTCATCGACATCAGGGGTATCAATCCCGTCAATTGGGTTATTTTTTAATTTACTCTCTGTATTAAAACTTGCCTCCATATTGTTAAACCAACGCATGAATGTAGATGTTTTACATTTTCGACAAATTAATGAATCATTTGCTTCTAATTTATGCGGTAATAAAGTACCACAAACATAACAAAAATATCGATGAACACGTTCCAAACCAACTGGTGGATTTGAATGTCTTTCAAGCATAATTATTTAGCGGCTTTCTTGTTCTTGTTCTAAAAAATATTAGAATATAACAAATTTTCATAAGAAAATGAATCCAATGAAAACAAACAATAGGAGACAGTAACTCATCGAAAAAGACACTGCGAAATGGTCACCCTTTTGTCGGGAATTGGCAGAAGTTAGAATCCATACATTGGCCGTTGGATCAGGTCCCAGTGAGTGCCTCAATGGTCTACGAGCCAGCTCGCCTTGTAACCAGAAGGTCCTAGGTTCGAACTTCCGGGGGGTTGCCTCCTACTCTGAAGAGTCCCAAACTAGGGCGAAACAGCTGGCTGTCCAGTACTCCCTGTTGGTTTTCCAATGGTGGTTCTCTAGCTGATGTCAACTCATCAAGATGAAATCCTCCATCCAATCAAACAAAATCCCTACAAAACCATTACTTGAAAAAATTTATTTCCCGATACGAATTTAAAACAAGAAATAAAGGTTAATAAAGCAGGGTGATTTAATGAATTCATCAAATTTCGGTAGAACTCGTCAGCTGAATACCACTCTACATACACGGATATATATATACTTTTGAAATCACATTACATTGCCGTTCAAAGGAGATGACGTACAGGAAGTAGTGAAACGAAGACTCGACAAAGCCATCAAGAGAACTTATTATGCTGCAAAACTTGTTATCCTTAACACCACCAAGCGAGTGCTTCAACAATCTGGGAAAGACCAGCCGTCAGTCCTCGACACTTCAAACTGCGTATATCAATTTGAGTGTGTTTGTGGTAGCAAATACATAGGTCATGCGGAAAGGCGATTGTCTCCTCGCATGATGGAGCATTTGCCAAAATGGTTGAAAACAGCTGAGTGCAAAGTGCCAAAATCCTCAATAACAAGACATCTCGTGGATTACGGACATGATATCGACGCAGTCAAGTCATTTACTATTGTCAGCAGACAAAGAAACAAGAAGATGCTTGCAATTGCACAGAGGCTTGTGCAATTCGAACTTAGAAACCAGCTCTCTGTATACAAAAGGAGATGGTCGTCACTCTGAATCTACCATGGTAATACGTTTTACTTATTATTCTTTGCTTATTATTATTGTTATTATTATTATAATTACTACCATTCTTGATTCATTTAAAACTATGCTTTATCCGTAAGATTATCTTAACTCACTTCAACACTATTAAAATTGTTATTATAACTATTACTATTGATATTTGTCTGTTTACAATTCTCGTTATATTCCCTAATGACTAATTGTTTATCTAAGTGATGTAATTGAAGCGTAATGCAATTTATCTTAATTTTGACCTCTCATACTCTCTCTCTCTCGCCTTATCTATTTGAACATGACCTGAAAAACATTCGCACCTGTCTTTCTGCATGACTAGTTCAATGTAGTTTATTTACTTATCAGTCTTATATCTCCCAATGTCATTTCAAAAGTATATATATCCGTGTACGTAGAGTGGTATTCAGCTGACGAGTTCTGCCGAAATTTGATGAATTCATTAAATCATCCTGCTTTATTAACCTTTATTGCTTGTTTTAATAGACAGTTGTTTCACCGACAATACTGAACTCTTCAGCAGTACATACATCCATGACCCCATCAGTTACTACATATCGACGACATGAGCATGGTGTTAGCACCTATATACCATGAAGTTGGAAAAATTTTAGTCAGCTATTAGTTTCTGTCCGACTAGTTGAAAGATCAGTAGACTGACATCTTGACTTTGAACATGAAGAATTTAATCCCTGGTTGCCCGTAGATGAGTACTACTGAAAATTCCAATAATAAGAAGAAGAAGAATAGATACCACACAGTCAACTGACCTTGAACCAATCAATTATATTCTTCTGGGTGAAAAGTATACAGCGAACATACACACATAATACCCTCGCCTAGTTTACTAAGTTCGCTAGTTTTCTAGCCAGTCCCAAGTCTGGGTAAAGAGGGAGGGTTGGGCATGGGGCTGGCACTCTACTCCTCTTCCCACCTCAAAAAAAAAGTTATCAAACTGCTACAGAAACTTCAGCGGACAAGAAAAATATTAAGAATACAAAAAACTGTAAAAAAAAAACAAACTTATTCTTCGCTGGAATCGGAGAGGTGAAATGACGCAGTGGGCTGGCTGATGAAAGCCAGACTTCGGAAAGCCAGTCAGTCAGTCAGCCTACCGATGCGTATTCTCCCCATGAAAGTAAGAATAAGAATGTGGGGGTGGGGACGTGGAATGCACGTACAATCAACGAGACTGGTTGGGAAGGCTACCCAGGTAACCAAAGGAATGAGAAGATAAGGTATAGAAGTTCTTGGAATGGATATGACCAGGAAGAATTAGCAAAAAGAAACTCTGGCTGGCTGAGAACAAAATCAACCAACTGAGAGCCGATTGCTCCACAAATATGTTGTGGGAGAAAATGGAGATAGATTGAGCATAGGTTGAGGAGGTCACTGAATGACATCGCGTGCAATGCAAGCCATCGTTCTAGTGGAATCTCAATGGGAAGCAACGAGTGGGTCGTCATCGGTGCGAGGATGAGACATTGTGGGCAATCGCGTGGCTAGCCAGCTGAAGAGGACGACAGAAAACAGAAGAGGGTGAAGATGTGTTGTTGAAGCCCTATGTTCCACTCGGAACCCAAGGGAATAATAATAACAACACATATACATAATAAAAATGGACTATACTGTGTATGTATATGCATCTAATAGCCAGCTATAACAGGTGTCAATTTTTAACAGGAGTTGTTATAGATGTCTTTTTTCTTTCACATCCCTAGTGGAACATAGGGTTCCAAGCTAGAGGCTTGAAGTTTCTGTAGCAGTGGTGTTTATTTTTACAGGATGGGGTTGCTAGCCAGCCTCATGCCTAACCTTTCCCGTGTAAAGTGGCATAATAAGGTGAGCAACATTGAGGTTAGGCGTAGTGTTCTAGGTAAACAGGGGAAATCAATCGACAAAGTCGTGAAGTTACAAAGACTGAGATGGTTAGGACATGTGTTACGTATGCCAAGCCATCGCCTCCCTCGACGAGCAATGTTAGCGGATATAGGGTCAGGCTGGAAAAGAGCTAGTGGCGGTCAAACAAAAACTTGGCATCAGTCTATGAAATCCACAACAGTTGGTCTAAGCCACGTAGGAAGGTGTAGACTTCCAGGCTGGGGTCGTCGGGACGGTAAAAACAAGTGGTCGGAAACAATTGGTGACATGGCTCAAAATCGTTCTCAATGTCTGGGGCAGATGCATCCACTCCTTGTGACTTATGATCTTCAATGAAACTGTTTTGTTCTTCGTTATTACTCCTCCTTTGTCTCACACCTCTGCTCACTGTTTCTATTATGCTTTTCTTGTACTTTCTTCTCTTGCTTTGTGTGCTACAAGGATTGGAGTGTGGCGACTTGAACTGATGCACATTTGTGCAAAGTTCTATGTCGAAAACAGACAGACAGACAGACTTTACCAGTCTCACTAATGGCTTAGCGAGGTAAAGGAATGCGTCGGTGGCCGGGGATCGAACCCCGGACCATGTGCATGGTCGGCGAGCGTCTTAACTGCTGTGCCACCGACGCACCTGGCATCCCTGGCGGGACACGAACCCCCAACCTCCGGAATAGAAGTAGATGTAGACCATCTTAATCCGTTTTCTCAATACGCACGAAATATTTCGGTTAAAATTTGTATGATTGCCAATTTTAGGACCCCCTTAATCCTGATGAATGATTGACTTTATGATGAATATATCCCGATGATGATAACTGCAACATTCAACATTTCAAATGGATATTGTCTGACTGACTGGTTTCAGTATAGAACTTTGCACAGATGTACACCAGTTCGAGTTGCCACTCTGCCTCTATGCAGCACACAAAACAAGAGAAGAGAGATAATAAACACAGATGTAAGGCGAAAAGAATAGCAGTAATATGGAAAAACAATAGAATTTTATCGGATATTATAAATCACAAAGAGTGAATGCATCTAAGCCAGCCATCACTGAGAACGATTTTAAGACAGCCATATCACCGATTGTCTCCGGTCTTACTTGGTTTGTACCATCCTGAGTACCCAAAGAGACAGCCACTCTACACCTCTCAACATGGCTGGCTAGCTTAAACTAACTGTTATGGATTTCATTGATTGATAAAGCCATTTTTTAATTTGACCACCATTATCTCTTTACCAACCTGATGGATTCTATGTTAACAGCTAACATTGCCCGTCGGGGAAGGCAATGCCTAAACAAGCGTAACACATGTCAATCGGTGTAACTTCACAACCTCGTCGAGTGATTTCCCTTCCCTCCTTACCCAGCACTTGACAGATGCCTAATCTCAATATTACTCACCCTATCATACCACCTCACACGACATGTAGAGAGAACGCAGACACCTATGATCAAAGACAGCTCACCAGTCTTTTCGTATCTTACACTTTCAGTGGCCATGTCTCGCTCACAGTCATAAAGGAGAACGTAGTGAACTAGTGTTGAGCAGTACACATGCCGTTTGATCTATAGCCAACCGGATATTACGTCTAATAAGCCAGAGATGGTGTAAGTTGGCATATGTCAAACGAGCCTTCTGTATCCATGCTGAGAATTCGTCAGAGACAAACCCATTGGGGCTGATGAAATGGATGTTGTCCACAGTTTTCGTTGCAGGCTTCACCCTAACCTTAGTCTAAACTTAATCATACCCTAACTCTTCGCTCAATACTCAAGATCAGATGGCCGGCCAGAAAAGATCAGCAACAGGGATCTCTGAGAGCGAAACAACACAGCAGGGACGGATTTTGCAACAAATAGGTAGGAAGAAATGGAGATGGATTGGCCATACTCTGAGAAAACCATCAAATGACATCACTAGAGAAGCCCTCGAGTGGAACCCGAAAGGGAAGTGGCGAGTTGATCGTCCAAGGGTGACTTGGAGGAGGTCATGAGAAGAGGATATGAAAGCATGTGGGCAGACTCGGAGCGGGGTGAAAAAGTTGGCAGATAACCGAAGGCGATGGAGACGCGCAGCTGAAGCCCTATGTTCTTCTAGGAATTAAAGGATATAATAATAATAATACCCTACCTCTAAGTCAGGGTGAAACTTACATCGAAGACTATGAAAAGCATCATTTTGTAATGTTGAGCAATTTGACTAGTTGGTTCAGGGTCATTTCGCTGTGCTATCTATTCTTTACTATTGCCAAAATTCCTAAACTAGCACAAAGTAGTTGTCCAGTACTCTGTGGTATTCGGCGGTTCTGTAATTGGTGCATCCTCTTGTCATATAACTCGACGAAGCAATTATTTAGTCGGATATATGTTATAAAGTGTTATGTTGAAAGGCTACTCTACTTATGATGATTATGAAGGTGAAGAATCCGGACTAGTGACCTTCTTTGGGTTTCAAATGGAATATGGGGGCCTCAACATCACATATGATGCTCAGGAAGGCTTCGTTTGCTCTTGGAAGGGTGTGCGTGGTTGTTACTTCCCAGCTGCTCACACCGTGGAAGTTGGTTGATTATACCCGATATAAAAGAAGGGAGACAAGTCTCCCTGTGATAATCACAGGGACCTTATGAGTGGCATTTAAATATTTAACATCATCACTTCCAGTATTAATCACAAAACGATCAGGTAAAATATGACTTTTTGTTTTTTAGTATTCATATAAATACAGAGTAACTTCAACTCACACATAACCACGTGAAACCTACGATCATTGAAAGTAACGCAAGCTTTGAAAGTCCCTCCCTTTTAGGACGAAGTTCAATAACTAAATACTTTGGGATGAGTTTGTATGAAATTGTTGACTTAATGGCATGACTCAAGATCACTTAAAGCGGATATCGTTTCGGTTAAGTTTAACAATATTTTCGGAAGAATGCGAGCGTTCCAATGACCTTGAACGCATGCTAGTCGTTGATTAACGGCATCTGTCATTATCATAGCTGAAATATCAACGATATTCACCAGCTAAGTAGCAAATTTCACCCAAGGCATGTTTTTAAGTACTGTTTCGACAATGTGTTGATAGTTCATTAGGGTTAAAATTACGGTTTGGATAAGGTTAGTGATTAGGGTTAGTATTAAGGTTAGTGTTACGATTAGGGATAGATTTATAGTTGATGTCATTTATTTTAATTTGTTTCCCTATCCGAATTTTGCTAGTAATTATTCGTCGAACCTCTTACTGGAAACCATAATAATTCAACCGAGGGCTTTGGGGGAAGACTGCGCAACAGGATACGAGGAATAAACAGCCCACGAAAAAAGCTTATCTTATATTTTTATATCTTGTATTTTTGATTACAGCTTGATTCCACACTGTATTTTTGGTAAAGGTATCGAATTTTCAGCATGGATATCGGTAGCTCGAATTTCGCAGGCGCAGCCACCTCGGTGAATACACGTACAGAAACTAGTCTAACTTGGCAAATGGTACTCCTCATTATGAGTGGGACGTATTTCTAAGTCATGTTAGATAAAGATACTTTGTTTAATGTGCGTCGGTAAAACAGTGATTAGGACTCCCGCCGACCATGCACACGGTCCGAGGTTCGATTCCATGCCGACGCACACCTGATATCTATGGTCGGCCTGCAAAATTTTGGATGTCGATATCAATGATGAAAATTCCATACTTGTACCAAAAATACAGTGTGGAATCAACCTGTAATAAAAAATAAAAATAAATTTTCATGCATTTTATGGTAAATATACTTAATTTTTTGTGCAAAAGTCATTTGTTTTCGTGATTGGTCGGCTGGAGGTCACTCGTGCGTTCACATCCCTTGGGAAGCTACTGTTGAACTTTGCCCTCTTTTCTTCTGTTGCTGTATCTATTTTGAACTAACAAAGAACCGGTGTCAGTATATTTTCAGAGAGAATAATTATCCGTCCTTTTAAAAGCGCTAGCGCATATATTGGCAGTTATATTCCTACCACAAAATCCTTCGTCTAGGTCAGTAGTGGGTTAGAACATCATATATCGAGAAGCTAAAGGGAAAACGGAGGAGGAAGGTAGACGGCACCTTATAAAAGAGAAAAACTTCGACATGTAACACCTAGATGAAAAGCACTTATACGTTAAAAGAAATGAAGCCATAAAATTCCCAACATTCCGAAAGTAAAATATATGTCATTTTACAGAGGTTGGAATTCTTATGGCTCAGGCGTTTCGTCCAAATCAAGAAAAAACCATACATCTAAGCGCCATCCAAACAACCTTCCCGATACGGTAGGACCTGCAGGGACGTGATTCCCGACCATTTCAGCTTGTTGGGTCACTGCAGTATTCAAGCCCGACCACCACGGCAAGGTAGCAGTTGTCGGCGGGGATATACGTAACACATGTCCTAACCATCTCAGTGGATGTGATTTCACAGCCTCACCGATTAATTTCTCCCTCCTTACATAGAACTCGACGCATAACTTCAATATTGTTCACCTTACTGTACCACTTCACATGGGAAATAGAGCGCAGGCACATATGATCAAAGACTGCATGCATTAACAACACACAGTCACACAAAATAGGGTGGGAGGGGGCTGGAATTCTGAAAAGTAATATAGGTAGATGGAGAGAAGGAGAGGTTGATTACTGAATCCCGGCTCATTGAGTCTACACACCCAACATATGCAATAGGAATGACTTATCACTCATACTAGAGATATGGAAAATATTACTACCAATCAAGTTAAGCGATGAATCGAAATAATGGAATTACAGTAGAACGAATTTAGGAAATTGTGTGAGTAGTGACTTGATATTGGGATTATGAGCAATGATGAATTCTACTCGAAACTGTATAACACTGTGAGACTTTACCAAAAAGCTAATTTGATCCACAATGGAATTATATACTCTACTCTTCTTTAGATTTAGTTGACAGAAGCTCTGTACCATCACTTTAACAAGAATCTTCACTTTCATCTGTGTATCTGCTATTTAGCTGTATGAAACACAGGCCGAATCAATGTGTATATGAAGACTTACGGAAACCACACTCAACTTCATGAAGCCTTTTATTATCATCATCATCAGTGTTCAACATTTCCTATTACTTTTGACTTTTGCAAGTTGATAGTAGTAGGAGTTTCACTTTCAATCTTTTCTTGAAGAGACGTGAAGGAATCCCAGTGTCTGTCCTTGGGTGATTGTAGCATTGTAGACCATTGCTATCTATTGCGGTTTAATGACAAGTTCCTCTCCGTCAAATTTGACCGTTTCTCCTCCATTCAACTTAAAAAGCCTCGTAGAGAGAAGGAAAAACTATATAAAACGAAAGATGAAAGTGGTGTAAAAAGAACTAACTTCTTAATCAAGTCTGAAATGCAGAGGTTGAATGTAATATATAACCAGAAATTCATATCCTGCGAAAATGCTTCTAATATTTGGAAACCATTTAAGGAAATCACTGGTGGTTAGCAGATAAACAATATTCCATATTCCTTTGATGTATGCACTCTTAATAAATATTTTATTTACTCTCCCTCAAATGCCACGCTTCCCAGCATCATTGGTGTAAATAATAGCCCCTTTCCAGGTTTTAAAACACATGAAGCTCAAAAGTGCCTCAAGTCTCTGGAACCCTTCCCAGAGCTTAGGTCTAGATTATGTACCTAGTATTATTTTTTTTAAATGTTCCGATATTCTGTGTCACCCTCTCACCGATCTATTTAACAAATCTTTTTTCCAGTAATATATTGCCTCCCGACCGAAAGCTGCTACCTTGACGTGGTGGTCGGGCTTGAACACCGCATTGACATAATCAAGCTATAATGGCTGAGACTTATGTCTCTTGAAGTTCCACCATGCCAGAAAGGTTGTTTGGATAGCGGTTAAACCAAAAGCAGCAACACAATCCAATGCTGCGATTCAAACAAATTCACAAAATATCATGCCGGATCGGTCGGGGCCCGGATTAACAACGACCGCGCTTCCTGCTGCCGTGTCACAGGGCAGAAGTGATAAATATGGTACTGAGACACACCAAACAAACGAATATATTGCCTGCCGTTTGGAAGGACATTAAAGTTGTACCTATACCTAAATTATCTACTGGAGCATGTGTCAAATTCAGACCCATTGCTATTACCTCTCCTTTTTTGAAAACTATGGAGAAATTACTTTTACTTAGTCTCGTACCTTCGCTTAAATCCTTCAATGACCCTAAACAATTTGCCTATAAGCACAGTAGAAGCACTTTAGATGCAGCTGCCATCTTATATCATAATACTGCTTCCAGTCAAGACAAGGGGGCTAAATTTGTTCGTTGCGCCTTCCTAGACTATACATCTGCTTTTGACTCGGTCCCTAGGGACATCTTATTAAATAAACTTGTTGCTAGTCAAACAGAATGTTGCGCTGTTAACTGGTTACATTCCTATTTCTCAGAAAAAAAGCAGTACACCGTGTATAAAGGGAAGTCTTCCGCTTCATTGTCTACTGAAGCTGGTGTCTCTCAAGGCGCTGTCCTTTCTGCTTTTCTTTTTTCTTTCTTCTTGCATGACTTGCCACACTCTGATGAAATTAACTTTGTGAAGCACGCTGATTATTTAACGGTTTCAATGGCTGTTAACTCCCAGCTAGATTGCACTAAAATAAATAGCTTTCTATCGGGAGTCAGCAAATGGTCTGAGTCTAACGGTCTTAAACTGAATCCTTCTAAGTGTCAAACTGTTGATTTCAGCTTAAGATGTAAACGACAGTTAAAAGAAGTCATCGATTCTCATGACAGTTGTAAAATTGACGACAATGATATAGGAATCAAATCAGAAATTAAGTATCTTGGACTCATGCTCTCTTCTGATCTCTCCTGATCTTCCCATGTCTTAGCGATCTCCAGTAAAATATTCCGCCTGACATTTTACATTAAGAAGTTAAGACACTCAGGTATAACTCAACCAAGCCATCCTCTTACAGTTCATAAACTCTTGCATCCTACCTATTCTTCTTTATTGTTCACCCCTGCTTATTCTTTCCTGGTTTGCTTAAAAAGGACTATGTCACACTTCGTAGAATGCTGAAGACGGTCGGTAGGGTGAGTGGTGTCCCAGAGGACCACATAGTTAACGCCGTTGTCGATAGGCACTTGTATAGTAATTTATTGTAATCGTAGTATTAGTATTTCGAGATGACCGAATTACAAGAATCCAAACAAAACACAGAGAGGGCGGAATTCAGGGATTTGTATTTAGCGGAATTATAATCCACATATATATGACACATATTAACAATCAACAGTAAGTATTTAAACAATAGAGAGATAGAAATTGTCAATCATCACATCCGCCACACGTCGAATATCTCCTCACGTATTTATAATGATATCGCGGTTTGCTTGCCAGTCTCTGCGATCTTCTAACTGATTCTGTGATATTATTTTCATCAGTATCTTCTGGACTTATTTCTGAATTATCTACAAAATCAGGATTAGTAACGGAATCATTAAAATAATAATTGGAACGACCCACTACATTTATTGTCACTTTGTCCAGGTGTCTGTTATGAACTGAATTATCTTCAATGTCTAATATCTTCACCACTCGATTTCCCACTTTTTGTAGTATAATTCCAACAGAAGGTCTATAGTCATTCCCTCTGTAATAATGTACGTTAGAAGTCGTGGACATCAGATGCTTTTTGAGAATTCGAGATTTGAATAGTTTTTCAGGACTTTCACGGGTACTTGTATGCTCTGCATTCAACAGACGCAGTCTATGCATATGCAGTAATTCCTCCATTTTAATCAGTTGCTCTCTC